ACAATGCCCAAAACAAGAGACTATTTTGTGTAACATTTTTGGCGTAAAGAAGAGAAGTATATCCTTTTTTTTTTGTGTCCAAAAGAAGTGGAGGAGCTTCATTTATACAGTAGTTTCACTCAGTTCAAGTCAAAGGAAGGGAATTAATATTTCACGGCAACCATGCATAAGAAATTAATCAAAACCCTTTAATTATGCATGTATACTAATTAGCTAGTCTTCCATCTATGTATCAAACGGCTAGTGAGGAGGAAATATGAGGATCAAAGTCAACTTAGTGAGGAGGAAGTATATCCTTTTTCATTGCTATAATCATGGTATTAATCAAGCAAATTTGAATTTTGATCTTTTGAAGCAAAATCAATGAACCTAGACTTGGAGTTGTACTATGGGAATAAGTGAATAGCTCCAACATAGCAAAGTTCTAGTAACTTTCACAACTTGAGTAATAATAACCAGTAGTTCAATAATCCACCTTAAAATAACCCTAAATTCATATACTCACCAGTCACCATTAAATAAACAATAACTTATTAGAATCACTTCATCAAACAGATAATGTGCAAACTATCAATTTGACCAATTCAAGCTGACTAATTCACCAAATTAGGATATAAATTATACCCATTAGAAATAACATGGTGGGTAGAGAGAAGAAGAGGAATTACATTGAATGGTGAAGAGAGAGAATGAGATTGCTGCTGCTTTAGCTACACATTAGCAGAGAAAAAATGACTGCTTTTGTTTGAGTCTGTCGTTGCCTACCTGAAAGCGTTTGCTAATTGCTATGGCAGAAGTAAGATAAGGGAGGGAAGTGGAGAATGATGAAATCATGAAAGGGGCATATTTTCGTAAATTTTACCAGCAGGCGTAAGAGTTGCGAATTGAATTTGGATATAGTTTCGGGGAAATTCGAAAAAAAAAAAAAAAAAAAAAAAAAAAAAGAGGATAGTTCAAGTGATTAGACTTTAGAGTTTCTTTATTTTTTCCTAAGATCGATTCTCATTTTCCGTAATTAAGTTTATGGGATGTTTGGTATGTGGGATAGGTATAAGAAGGATAAGGATAGAGAATTTTGGGTGTGATAGGGATTTTATAAAGTGTTATCCTTTATTTGGTATAAGTTAGGGATAAAAGCAGAATAAATAACAAAGTTACGAATATACCTAACCTTATCTTTCTCCTTTATTTTTTTTCTCTTCATTAAGGGTATAAATGTCATTTTAATTATAATCTCTATCTCTATCCCATAATCTTTTCCCCAAACCCCTATGACCCTATCCCTCTTCATTTATCCTCCTAAACAAATATGTTGTTAGTTCACAAGTCACAACGTGCACAATTAAATTTTTTGATGAAAAATGATTTTAATAATCTTTTCCCCAAATCTTTATCCCTCTTCATTTATCCCCCTAACACAATTAAATTTTTTGATGGAAAATTGTACAATGTAGTGATACCAAAACTCTTAGAAGAAAGTTGGTAGTTTTACAATTTTTTTTTATTTGAATAGGGTAGTTATTTTTTAAAAGTGACGATTAACTAGGTAGTTAGTTATTAACAAAAAAATCCCATATTCTTAGAATTTCAGTTTCAATTTATGTTAGTTTCATACAATATACTCCATAGTTATTTGGTAGTGCTATAAATTTGTTTTATTATTTAAATCATAATACTATTTACACTAGTTACAATAGGGAATTGGTAAAAATAGGCCAATTAACTAAATTGGTAAATAAAAAAGATACCTTGCAATAATTTGGTAAATAAAATTTACTCCTGCGATAATTTGATTAAAAAAAAAAAAAAAACTCCAGCGACATTTAGGCCAAAAAACTAAAAAAATTCCGGTAAACTACTCATGGATGTCTTATTTAATTCTTTTTTGTGGTTTTTTTAATTTATTTCTCTCGTGTATTTTTCCACTTAATTTTCCAATTCTTTTTAGAGAAATAAAAAGCTAAAGAAAAAAGTTTAAATTACTTTTCACTAGATGAAAGCCCGTGCGATGCACGATTTTTCATACATATATCTCAAGAAAAGATATTTTCCTATATACTCTAAGTTGGTTTTTTTTTATTTTTTTTTATAATTATTTGATTTATTTTACAATTTAATGATTTCAGACAAAAAAAAAACAAATAATAATTTAATTAAAATGATATTGCCACTTACAAAAGTATAATTTTTTAATGTAATTTATAATGCGACTTAATTTATTGTTGTTTTGTATTTTATTCATTGTTGTTAGTTATATGACAATAATATGATATTTTTCAAAAAAAAAATTGTAAATATGATATTTCATTGATTACATATTAGGATAAAATCTTTAATGTGAAAAGATAATAATTTTTTATTTTTAAAATAATTTAAGTCCTAAATCATTATTCGTTGCTATTTACACTTGAAATTAAACTCTCAAATCTATATATCATTTTGTATATTTCTTGTGATATCTACCAAATTATCTGTCTTTTCAAATTTTTAGACATGAAATGTATAAAGAAGGTAAAGTTTTTTATTGCGTTATAAGTTTTAAATTTTTTTTATGAAAAAAACATCTTATTAATCGGGTATTTAGATAAAAACCATTAATTTCATAAGATAAATTTTTTTTTTAATAATTTAAATTCTAATATCCCACGGTTTTTTATACATAAAATCTCATAAAAATATTTTTGTAATTAGATCATACTCATAATATTTTTGATTACTTTGCTATTTTTTGTTAAGGATAATTTTTTTATTAATTTTATGTAATTTATTCCCCTAATAAATATTTTGATAAGAACATTAAAAATAATAGTTATTAGATGTAATATTTCGATGTAAGAAAATTTGTATTAAAATTTTTTTTTGATAGGATCACCAACTTTGTTCACACCCATATCTCTTCCATTTAATAAAAGTGGATAAATAGAACATGTTAGCAAAAATAAAATTTATATAAAATTAATCTTTTGTCTTATAAAATAAATTAAAATATTTACCAGAAAGTGAATAATTTTTGTGAAATTAATCTAAAAATTGTAATTATACAAAATTAAATTTATGCATTGGAATTTTTTCATCGTTCCCAATCGCCCAAACAATAGTATTTTGGAAAATTGAATCATTATTTTGTTGTCGCTGACAATGTGTGCGATATTGCTTCTTATTTGTAATGACTGAAAAGTATCTAACGGAGTAAACTTTTCCTTCAATCAATTTTGAACAAAATTGTAGAACAAAGTTGACTTTAATTGAGCCATGATCGTAATCACCCTGTAATTAAAAATAAAAAATTAAGTAAATTTTATGACTTAATTAAGCTACTTAAATCACAAAAAATTGTTTTAATCATAAAATTAATTGATAAAAACTAAAAGGTTCATTAAAAGGTTTAATAAATGTAAATGATTTATAAAGATATAATACCTCCTCATCCAATAGGATCATTAGACGAGAAACTCGTACTTTGATATTCCAAAGATTTTTGTTCGACTATAATTCTCTGTTTAAATGAGATCTGCATGTAAAAACAAAATTCAGTAAACAAAACATAAACATATAATCATTAAGTATCCCAAATAAGCACAATTTAAACAATAATCACAAATATACATTTAAACATGGGTTTTAAAAATTAGGCTAAGAATTACCCCCAGCCATTGATGACCTAATAAAACTGACACAAAATTAATGACACAAAATTTGCTTGGTTTGGTTTTGTATTGATACGAAATTTTGTTGGTGTCATATGATGCGTCAATTTATAATGGTAAAGATCACAAATTTTAATTTAATTTTAATTAAGGAATAATTTTTATTTCTTATCATAAACACTATCAAAACTTATCTTATAGGTATATAAATCCTATATCTAAAGATGATTATTTTAAAAGATAATTTTTAGTTTTTTAAATAAATTAAATCCTAATAAATTAATATTCGTTATTTTTACTTGGCAAAATTCTTAAATCTCATTCATCACTTTTGTTTAGGTGGCAAACGAATTTTTTAGTTCCAAAATAAAATAAAAATCTAATTTTTAATTGGTCGAAAATATACCTTTGCTTATGTGGTGCGCCGAATGCTCTCGAAAAATGCCTACTTTATTTATATAATATTAGATTTAATTTTTCAACCGTTATTAACGAAATAAAAAGGGGGGGGGGGTTGGAAATAAAATTGGGTAAATCAAGATTTAGTAAAATTAAAAGGGATGAAATGTTAATTGAAAATTTTCAATGGGAAAATAAAATTTAAAACCACAAAAAACAAATAAAATTGGGCATTTTGAAGAGTTTGTTGAAAACAAAAATAATTTTGGTCTATATGTCGCCTGAGTTTATTACTTTTTACCAAATTGTCGCATGGGCCTAACTTTTGTTACCAAATTGTCGCAAGAAGTCTTTTTTATTTACCAATATGGTCAATTGGCTGTAAAAATAAATATAATAGAGAATAGTATAAATAAGTTTTACGTCATGTTCTATTCACTTTAATAAAATGATAAGGAGTATTTAGTAAAAATAATTCAATTCAGTAAAAATAATTTTAAGTGAAGAAATATTACAGTTCAATAAAATTAATTTCAATTTAATAAAAATAATTTCAATTTAACAAAAATAATTTTATTTCGATAAATAAAATTCAATTTAGCAAAAATAAGGTGAAAAGAACTAGGTTTAATCAGTAAAATTAATTTCAATTCAACAAAATTAATTTCAGTTCATCAAAAAATAATAATAAGATTTGCAGCAAAAAAAAAAATACTAAGATTATTAAAAATAATAATAATAATAATAATAATAATAATAATAATAATAATAATAATAATAATAATAATAATAAAAGATTAAGAGAAAAGGGTCTTAGTCAAGACACTTTTAATCTTATATCCATGTCCATCAAATTTTTGAAAACGATATCGTATCCTCCAATCCAATCCCTACTCAAATGCGACACCGAGTCTAAGCAATATAGGAAAAAGTAGCTTAATAACAAAAAAGATATTACAAAAATGGTATTATTTGAATAGCATTGTTTATAAATTTATAATGATAAAAAAGCCCAACAAAAATGAAACATGTATCTCTGTATCTCTATGAATTCAATTTTCTCCTTAACGAACGACTAATCGACTATATAAATTATATACCTTCCGAATATCATCATAAATAGAACTTTAATCTTCTACAATCATAGTAATCCACATTGATGCATCACAACATAATTAATTTGACCAAATGAATACTGTTTGAAAAGAATCGCTGTAGCTATATATGTATATACGTAACAAACCATTAAGATTTATATAATGTCCAAACCCTTACTGCCACATGTGATGGCTTTTATGTTTTGCGATATTTCAGAGCTTCAAAACGAGCACTGAGAGCATCATAATCTGGCAACTTGGGATGAACAGAAGGAGTCCCAGGTTTACCATACATGCCACTTGGAGGCTGTTGTTCCATATCGATATCTTCATCACAATCCGATTCATCAAATTTAATATCAGTATGTGTACGACGAACGTTGTAGCTGTGCCGTCTTACTATGTTAAAATCCATATCATCTGAGTTCATGTCAGTATTGCTGTGGCAATTATTTCCAGCTCCTCCTAAACTGAAAGATCTGTATTCCCTTCCTTGGGTTCCCAAATTACCCTCTTGGTTGACAGGATGTGGTGATTGATTACTTCTTGTGTTGATATCAGAAGATGTTTGAGCTAGTTGGGCAGCAGCTTGGGCAGCAGCAACAGCGTCTTTTGCAGAATCAGCAGCTGCTTTTGCTGCTGATGCTACATCTTGATAATTTGCACTACCCATCTCATTAACACCACCACTTGATACTCTGAAATAAGGCCAGAATGAGATGTTAAGATTTACAGACCTGACTGTATAATATTCAGCTCAAACAAGCATTGACAATTTGTACTTGGAAGCTTACAGACCTGGTCGTAGGCGTCGTAGACTTCTGAGCTTCAGCAGATGGAGGTGCTCTTCCAGAATTCAATGGCAGGCTTCCAGCGCTAACAAATGTTCGTGGTCCCTCCTAATCAGCAAAAGAACATAAGCATGTAAACAAAGCAATTTAGAAAGATAAATCATTATAGCTGCAAATTAACTTCCGGGGAAACCATTCCCTATTTAACATTGCAATTTACGTAAGGGTGCTAATTAACAATTAGCCCTAGGATACAGTATTAACACCCAAAAGTGAACACTTCACAATAACTAAAGTACCCCGAATATGATACCTATATACATTGGTAATTTGAGTCACCATATAGCAATGTTAAATATTAAGAAATTTTATTATATATCAAAATTGTTAAAACAAGGATTAAATAAGATCTGAGAACTAAGGAAAAAAAATAATCAACTTGGGGCCCAATATTCCAATAGCTATTAGATTGAAGTAGCCAGAATCACAATAATAATAAAGGAGCATAATCAGTGATATTAAATATAAGCCCAGTGTGATGCCTCAAAGCTTAAAATAAATCTCTAGAGGATCTATGCATGAAGGTTCATAAACTTGACATTTTATTAAGAAAATTGGTTTTGAAGGCTAACAGAATATTAGTGATATGGAAGCCAAAAAAGCTGGGCAGCTAGACAAGCTATATAGTTCTCAGGAGCTGAAAAGAACGTGTCATTTACAAGGCAGAACATTGTTTAACCTGGATTATTGCCTAGGAAAATTCAATTAGCTTCCACACTGTGCCAGTAATGCCAGTAAAAAAAATGGATGCCACTGATCACTTGTGGAGCAATAAGTTATAAAAAAATCTTGAAGCTTAAAAAGCTTAGAGATTTTGCTGTTTAAATAGGAGTATGGAAAACTTGTAGCATGGGTATCTTGGAAACCTGAAAGTAGCTAGAACACCGCTAGTATGAAACAACAAAGTGATTACTATTTATGCCACCTTTGATTATTCAAAAAAATTCATGTCGTGAACTGGCATCTGGTATGCTAGATGTCATAGGAGCCAAGAGCTTTGAAGTTCGAAGCTTTGAGCCAATAAAATTTTCCAACAATGGAAAGCATTAGAACTAGGAAAGAACACTATGTTCTCGAGAGGGCAGCTTGTCCCATGCACTCTGCAGAATTGTCCTACCATTTTTTTCTTGTATAATTACAATCGTAATAATAATAACACAAGCATAACTTGGAAGGAACAAACCTTACCTGGATTCACAGATGATTTAGCCTAAGAAGAACAAAGAAAATTGAAAACTACAAGTTTAAGCTAGCTGCTGCTAACACATACAATTAGCACACTAATATCTTCTCACTAGCAGCAAATCAACTAAGGAAAAGGCTAAAGTAACCTTTCTTGCTGTTATCTGATTATTAGTTATTACTTCCTTTCATTAACTGTCTAATCGGATCTTGCTTGAGCTGTTGAATGAATCTAAGAAGCAAAAGAATTAGACCTTGAATCACTACAACATGGTTTGTTTAATTCAGAAAATCAACAGTCTCTAATTCTGTGTTTTTGTAAAATGAGCCAACTTAATACATATATTGGCCTCTAAAAAATAATCAAAATATACCCCAGTCCATCTAACCTTCTGTTAATCCAAGAATCAGAGCAGAAAGCATTTTATCATGCACTAATTTATACCAACGAAGAAATTGAAGTGTGAAGACGACAACAGAGAATTAAAAAGTCGAATGACAAAGACAAACATACAATGCGCTCCTCTGGAGGCTTGAGAAGCTCTGTCTCCGTCTCAGTTGTATCCCATTCAACCTGGTACTCCTTCGCTATTTCCTTCATGACCCTGAGCTTTAATTCTCCAGGAGGGTTTAAAGCAGAGAGCTTTTCAATTAACTGCAAACGAAGAGATCAAAAACATATATGCATCAAATACTTAAAGGGGCTAAAAGAAATATAATACAGCAGCACAAATAAGTACAACATATTTTAGGGATGATCATTCTCAAGGCAATTATGGCAAATTCACCACCATTATTGAAATATAAAACTGATGGGCATGATATGCAATTGCAACTACAACAAAAGATTAATGAAACAAAGTCATTGTCATCAAGTAGTCTCATATTAACAAAAGACTTAGGCGTACAATTTTGTTACTTAACACATTTTATCCAAAGCAACAAAAAGAAATCCAGCAAAATCATATACCAAACGATTTACACCACTATCAGGACGCAAATCCGTAGCTGCATCTACAAAATCTTTTCCATATTTTTTCTGAAATATATCCCGTATTGCCAGAAGTTCTGGAATGTCTGAGCATCTTGGTCCTGCAAATATTAAACTAGAGATGGCTTCCTTCAAGTCCGAAGGGCAGTCCCTACAAGTAAAAACAACCAAAATAATTGAGAATGTCTTTTTTTGTAATCATTACACAGGTTCAAATTTGGGAATAAGATCGCACCTCTGCTTTGCAACTATAGAAAGTCTTGTAACTAGTCTTTCACAGAAGAGCTCAAGAATCTCATTTGCAGCCATCATATTCTGCTCCCTGATGACATGTTCAACCTACAGCAGTAGATAAAGACCCTTCAGCTACTCAAGAATTCAACAGTTCAAGCTTCAGATAAAATTGCAACTCTCTCAGTGCAAACACATAGATATAACAAGTTTATGGAAGGTAAAAGTGCAGTTAGGCAATTGGAGTCCCACAAAAAGTTAAACACACTATTTAGTTAAGAGTCTATTTTAAGCAATGGCAATGCTTCTACTATTACACTGCCCTAAGTTGAATGCGTCAATAAGCTACTCAATAATTCTGAATTCTTACTTTGCTGCTGAAGAGTAATACTATCAATGTTATTGCAAATATAGAGTAAGGCTAAAAGATTGTTGCAATTATAGCTTCAGATTGGGAAGCTATAAATAAATTGTACTATGAAGCTGTCCAGTACTTTGAGGTAATGGTCAAATATTGTATCTAATGTGACAGAAAATTAGTTCCTCTGTTTCTTTAATAGACATAGAGGGGAATAACCAGCAAGTTTAATGTCACTCCAACACAAGCAATATAATATGTTCTCTAAGATAGAAAATTCCCCAACAATATCAACATATAAAATGCAACAATATAGCAATTGAACAACCATAAACAATCAAGCAAATGACACACGATGTTTATGAGGAAAGCGCCTTTAAAAGTAAGTAAAAACCACATGATGATGAGGGATTCTGCCCAATTGCTCTTATTTGTTCAAAAAAAAAAAAAAACAAAGAATGTAACACAAACAAGGTACAACAACAATTTTAAAGAACTACTCTACGGAGGTAATAATTAAGATATATGACAAGAAACAGGGTGGTATAGGAGCAATATCTCACAATTACTGGCAACAAACAACAATCATAATGGTGAAGATGAAATCCTTGATGTCCCACACAAGTTGTCAACATTTGAGCAAGATCAGACAACGGATGACCTACTATTGGGAGGTGATTCATGAGACTGCTCTTTTAAAAACATGAAATGGCTACACAAAAAAAATCTTTATTTTCTAATCTGGTCTCACTGATTTTCTTCATCTCTTTTCTCCTCAATTTAGATAAACCCCTACGACTTTTAGTGCTCCCCTAGTACATGGAAAACGCACACCAAAAGTCAAACAAAGAAGCTTCACAAAAAAGCCTTAGAGCTTAAGCTGAAATTTACACAACTTGCCCCAAAAATAACATTTAGTAAAATGAGTTTCTTCACATAGGAACGGACCCATATCCTAACAAATCTCCCCCTCCCAAACATGTAGAGGTGGTTTCCACTCCGACAATTGAATTACAAATCTCAAACTTGCCTCTTGGCGGTGCTTTTGTCATCATGTCGGAGTAATTATCATCGATAGGGACTTACTCAAGCTCAAGAAACTTAGCATCAAGAACATCTCGTATCCAATGATAGCTCACATCAGTGTGTTTTGGCTTTGCATGACAGGTAGAATTCTTAGCAAGAGATTAATAGCACTTTGACTATGACTATGCATTACATCTCTTCTATGTAGACATAAGTCGATCACTTCATCCATAAAAATTCCTTACATGCCTCTCTTTGAACTTTAATTGAGTAATGGATAATGCCACACAAATCTATAACCTCATGCAAAAGTGATCAAATTACCCGAAGTAGACTTCCTCTACAACTCTTTCTACAGTGCGAGTGGGAATCCCTGAAGCTTACAAAAAAACTTTTCTTTGAATTTTTTTCGAACTTGAAAGCGCCCCTCTATAATTTTTTGTATTGTTTGTCGAGTAGTTCAAAAACAGGTTGAAAAAAAGAGGGGCAAAATAATATCACCAGTACCAAAAAAGGAATAGGCTTATCGCTAATACCTTGTAGATATCTCAAAATAGATATCTCAAAATGCATTTCATAGTATTCCAATGCTCTATCCCAAGAGAAAACAAGCTATATCTTGCATAGTGCAAACCATCAAACTACCCATGGCTAAAGAATATGGGATATACAATATGCTTTCTCTCTTCCATAGAATTTTGTTAGGAACTCAACCTAAAATGCAAAGTAAGAGGAGCATTCATTGGTTTGCTTACTCCAAACCTTCTGAACATATGCCTTTTGTGAACATATGCCTTTTGTGTGAGTGTGTGACAACCAAAAACTTCAACCCTTATAATCATGAATCATGATGGATCCTCTTACCTAAAATGTTCTCCTAAAATGTTCTTTGCTAGCTTGAATTTCATCACAGACAAAGTCCTACTCTATTATTGCTTAACTTTTTTGCCTATAGTAAGCTTGTTCTCAACATTTGTAGCAAAATGATAAAATCTTTGTTAGAAAATTTCTTCCAGAAGACACAGCGATCACAAAAGGTCTACTTATAGCCTTTTTCGTCCCATAAAGAAGTCAAACTTGCGATACCATTTTATCAGAGCTTGCTTTAGGCAATATAAGATCATCTTGAATCTGCACACATACTCTTCGTTTGCATTGTATTGCTTTAGGCAATATAAGATCATCTTGAATCTGCACACATACTCTTCGTTTGCATTGTATTTGAATTCCTCCGGTTGTTCCAATTGCTTACTGTCCACTAGGCTATGAGTCCTTTCTTATGTGGAGAAGCCCATTTTACTTATATTAATTTAGGGCAACTTGTGTAATTTTCAGCCTAATATCTAAAACTTCTTTGAGAAGCTTATTTCTTTGACTTTTGGTGTGCTTTTGCTATGTTTTCGGGAGCAATACAATGAGAAAATGAGAGGATGAAATTTAATTAGGAAAGAAAGAAAAATACAAAATGATGAAAGTGAAGCCATTTTACGTTTTTTGAGAGAGCAGGATCAAAACTCATTCATTCATAGTTCGTTTCCGCTCACTTTTTTACACACAACAAGGGCTTCATCTTCGTTGCTGGGATTATCTTTGGTGCATTGTGAGATATCGCCATTGTACCTCCCTTTTTTCTAGTGATATTTTTCTTCTCCATAGGGTAGATCTTTATGATTGTTATTGCCAAGTAAATTGAGTATCCATTAGTAACATTCTTCTTATTATATTAAGAGCAATTGGGTAGATTTCCTCATAGTAATGTGGTTTTTACTTTTCACTTTAAAGGAGTTTTCCATATAGATGTCGTGTGTCCTTAAGTCAACTGTTTGTGCTTGTCAATTACTATATTGCTACGTTGTACGTGTTGATAATGCTGGAAAAATATTGATCCTCAAATAGTCAAATTATATAATTGTATTGCTTGTGTAGGAATGACATCAAACAAACTAGTAGTGACATCAAACAAACTGGCTGCGAAAACTTGCATAGGGTTTTTTGTCAATTGAATTACTCATTGAGAAGTGTGTTGATAGTTTAATAACCCTTCCAAAAGGTGGGACTATGTCACACCAATTTCTAAGATCTATTTAACTCTACATTAGAATCATTGTCGATAAGTGGTTATTTTAGAGTTCTAGATGTTGCCATATCTTGGTTGCATTTGACATAATTTCTCTTGACTTGGTCAAGGGCTTCTGAATAAAGATGAGCTATATAATGCCTTTTCCTTCTACATTTAGTAAATAAAGTCAAGCTAAATTTTTAAACATTAATCAAAGGTAGAAACTAATTTGGGACTGAAAAAAGGGACACAATGATACTAAACAAGCAACCAAAAAAAAAACATTACTGATTTTGTCAAATTCTCACCCAAATTTTGTCAATGATCAAAATTACAGCACCCATAACTCATAAGGTATATTTAGTGCTCATAATACAACCCACTAAATCATGCTTCCTTCGCTTCATTTAAGTTAACATGTTTCCTTAAGCACGTTTGTAATGCATGATTTTATACATCAATGTCTTAACTTATTAATTGTTTAAAAATACAATAACTTAACAAGTTAATATTAGGAAAATATACATTGGGACGAATCAAACAATACCCCGGGAATATATTTATAACTACCCCGTATAAATTACGAAACAAAGTCAGAATAAATCATGTGAATAGTATTAAAGTCAAAACGTGTTCAACAAACAAGCAACAGGGGAAGTACAAGCTAATCCAAAGGCTCAAACCTCTAATATAAAACAAACAAATTCCATAGAAAATTTCTGATCAACACCAATAATCATGAACAAAACTCATCAAATTCGGTACCCCAAAATAAACCCACCAAAACCCTTAAAGTAGAAAGTCAAAAATTGTTGATAAATTACCCGAATTCGAGCAGTAGCATCCTGACCCGATTGAAGAAGCAACGCAACATCCCGTCTCATCTGCCGAACCACCGTCTCTCTCTTATTCCGTAGCAGCTTAATTCGAGCCGTCGTCATCCGAGCCCATGTCTTACTATATACCCAACACCCCCAACAATTCAGAAATCAAATTCAATTCAATCAAATCAAGAAAAAGAAAACCCAAAATAAGAGTAAATACCATTTGGAAGAATTGAAGTCTCGTCGAAAATAAGCACCCAATTTAGCGAGTTTCTTGCAATGGGTTCTCACTGCATAAGCAACTGACATTATTTTCTCTCTCCTACTCCAACTCCTACTCACTCACTGAGTCACTGACTCGGTTTCGCAGTGAAGATGAGCAAAGAAGAGAGAGAAAAATGGAAGAATTTGAAGAGGGTCAGTCGATTGAGTTTTTAACGGTCAGGTGTGTTGTCTGCTGGAAATGGAAATGAATTGTCCGACCTTAAAGCTAGAGTGCAGTGGGGAGAGGCGCTAAGAGTGTGATCTTAGAAAATAGAGCCGTTATGTTGTGATGGGGAAATGTGGGTAAAGGAGACTTTTTTTGCCGACTCTATCGGGTAATGGGATCCTATGTGGCCTTTTTCCTTCTACTACAAGTTTCCTATGCTTTGCAGCAAAAAAAAAAAAAAACAAGGTTTCCGATGCCTTATCCGAGGTCATTTGCTCATTAATTTTTGTTCATTTAATAAATGAGCAAAAATTGGTACACCCGCATGTAAAGAACAAACTCTCCAAATTTTTATATGGCCAAACATCATGGGATTACTTTTTAATTTTATAGGGGCTTTTTGGTCAGTGTTATAGGGATTATTTCGTTAGTGTTATAGAGATTATCTGGTCAATGTTATAGGGGGTTACTCGGTCAGTATTACAGGGGTTACTCAATCAATGTTATAGGGGTTACTTTGTTATTTTATAAGCGGCCACATGGCGTGCCTAGCCGCATACAAGACGTACCATTTTAGGAAATGGTTTCCTATGCTATTTGCTTACAACTCAGAATATACTTTTTTTTTCATTCAGATGCACCAATTTTTATAAATGAAAGTTTTAATTTAGATGCATTACTATTCTTTTAAGTTCAAAAAAAAATTTATCTGAATTTATCTTATTTTACTTAAAAAATTGAATAGGAATCCGTATTTCAAAAGTGATGTATCTAAAAAAAGGATGAAGTAGAAGGTTATCACTTTGATAAACATATGTAATGGCAAAATTATAAATAAATCAATAGCTTGTTATTGAATATGAGCCCCATAGCTGTGGATATAATTACGAAAATGTCGTGCTTATTGCTTACTAGACATCTTTGTTGATTGATATACAATTTAGCACTTTTATTAACGAATTTCGTCTATCATGGTTATAAAGTGGGTTTCCCTCATTTGCTTACTAGTATTTGTTGGGTTTTACGGTGTGCGAACACTGCGCGGAATTAAAACCCGCCCAAGGACCACATGCACAAATTAAAGCGCCTTAACTAAAACATGCATATAATTAATAAAACAATAAACACATAAAGGGGGGAGAGAGAGAGGGAGAGAGAAAGAAGGGAAAAGACGTTCATACCCTTGAAGCGTGTTTTCCAATTAGCACGAACACGAACTCACGAACGGAGCTAGAGCCTCAAATGCGACTCCTCCAACGCGGTCCACCCACGCGCCCTAGCTTTGGATATAACCGGCTAGGGTAATATTAACACTACTAACAAGAGGATCTCTTTTTAAGGTTTTCTCAATGGAGATGCCTTTTATAGAGTTCAACTCTTGCAATTCAAATCCCAAGGTCCTTGGGTATTTATAGGAGAAGCATTTCCATCCCTTTGATATTCCATCAATGTGGGACTTTGCAAAGTTGAGAAATAAATGCATTTAATTTATTTCTAAAATAAATTAAAATACACAAAAAAAATTATCAAACAACAAGTGGCAATCACATGGGAGGGTTAGGTGAGGACCATAAGGGAGGGCCACAAGGCCTTCCTTGCTCCCCAAGCTAAATCGACCCTAATGAGAAGCGACCAGCTGGCGGCTGCCTAGAACAGCAATGGCTTGCCTTTGCTGGCAGCCTTGCGCTCTCGACCAGCCAGCCAGCCTAGGCCCATCGTAGCACAGCAGGCCTCGCAAGCTTGTGGATAGTTACGCTGCTAGGTGGTGCTGCTGCTGCTATCGCAAGCCTACGCGCACACAGGTCTGTTGCTGCTTGTTAGCCTTAGCACATGCTAGCAAGGCATGGCTAGCCATGCTAGCTGCTGGCCCTTGCTAGCAATGCTTGTGCACCACACACTCGGCCACCAGGCCCCAGCCAGCCCACGCGCGTGGCTTGATGGGCTTGTGGCCAGTGCTAGGCTTGCGGCAACATCAAGTTCCTAGCCCTCGCATGGCTAGGACAATGCGAGGCTAGAGATATGCGCTTTGACATATTTATTGTTGTTTGACTTATTTGTACATCTTGTTAAATCCTGGAATTTGACTCGACGTTCGGCTTTTACGCTTTGAAGCTCGGAATCCGACGTCGGAGTACGTATCCTTTTGTTTGACGTATTAAGACCTTCGGCTTAATTTGTCGTCTCAGTTCGGTTGCACGCTTGGGCGTGACCCGTTAGGTCCAGTAAAAGGAAAGATGTGAGATTAATATAATTAATATCACTGATCGGAGATGGCCTCTAGCCCGAATTTTCGATCACTTGACATCATTGAATAATTAACTCTGCATTTAATTTTGAACCCTGTATCGGAATAATACACTTGTTCGAAGGACAACATTCCTTTCAGTATTTATAATCACTCTATGGCCCTCTTTGGCAATTAACTTTAGCTATAAACATTTTACCAAGCAAAGCTTGGTCTATTGGTAAGATTTGCTTCTCCCAACCATGAGGTCGTGGGATCAAACCCCACTAGAGGCACTTTGGGGTGGAGATTCCCTTAACCCCCCCCCCACTCCCAAAGTGCCTAGCCCGCTAACCCGGCTGGGAGGACCTGTGAAAGGTTTCATTCCGATAGGGCTCTTTTCCTTACCGGCCAAAAAAAAAAGCTTTAGCTATGAATTCCTCCATATTTTAATCATTGCTCATTTTCTCTAGGCACAAAGTTTTAGGAGGAATATTAGAATGCATTAATTTATTATTGAAGTGGGGTACGTTGATGAATACAAAAAATCTGGAAAAAAAAAAAACAATAGTGGGTAAAGTAGTGGAGAGAAACACTTTGAAAAATATTAAAATATGATAGGAAAAGAATAATCCCACCTTTGTGTGGTCTTTCGAAAACAATTCCATCTTCAGTTATTCCAAAAACAATACCACTTTTGACATCCATCTTCTTTAAATAGACCTTGACCGATTGGTAACTTGTTATTTTAGGTTATTTGCCACGTGTCAACTTTTGATTGGTCTATTTTAATTTTAATTTAAAAATAAATAACAAAAATATAAAAAAAATAAAAAAAATACCAATCCCTGTAACTCCATCCCGGCAGCCCCAACCCCACCACACCTCTTCCCTGCCCGCCTTTCTCATCCTCGGAGTCCTACCCAGAATTTCGCCACCCACTTTGAGCAAATTGCCGTTCGAAATTCCATAAAACTCAAACCGTTTCCTCCACCATTTTCGGATTCGCATTGGATTTTGGTTTTTGGTTTTTTACTTTATTTAGCCAAAAAAAATTTTGTATCTTCTTGTTCTTCCATGTGAATTTCAGCAACTACATGCATGTGCAATCATGGAAGATACTGTGTTGTGCTATAGTAGGCTCATTGATACGATTTGTCAATAGGTTCTCTCAAGGAATTGGTAAGATAGTTCCAAATTTGATATCAATTATCAGGTGGGAAGGGGTTTTGGGGTGGGGGTTGGGCTGTCCAGACAGGAGGGGTGGGGTAGGGAGTGTTTTAGACGACAGTGAGTGGTGGTGGGGTTGTAATTTAGGTGGCAAGGGTTTTCAGGGTGGTGTTAATGGTGGACTGGTGGTGGCCATGAGAGGGGGTGGAGAGGTGGGAGGAGAGAGCATTTAAAAAAAAAAAAAACCAATTTAATAGGTTGCAGGCCAAATGGTGTGTTTAAAGAAAATGGATGTTAAAGGTAGGATTATTTCTAGAATGATTAAAGGTAGGATTATTTTCGAAAGATCACACAAAGATGGAATTATTCTTTTTCATTTTCTAATATGATACGAGGGGCCACTAATTAGTGGTTCCTGCACCAAAGTGTACCATGCATATGGTATACCCGATTTTTAAAACAAAAGTGTGGACTGAATACAAATATAAAGTACACGAGTAAATTTATTAAAATTTCATTTAAGTAGAGAAGAAAAAAAATAACAAAAAAAGCAGTGCATACATATTCAAAGAGCGAGAGCTTATTTATTCATATTCTTTAACTTATTTATTCAAATATCAAATGCTACCTACCCGCATATATCGTTAAAAAAATGTTTAATTTCCTAAATTTTATAATTCATATTATCTCTGTGAAACAAATACTCCAAAACAATTAGAGTTTCGTACACCCGGGTGTACCATGCGCATGAATATGGTACACCCGGAAAAACATTACTCTATGAATAAAAGAACATCGTCTATAAAAGAGCATCCTATATGTTTTAAAAGTACGCACATTTAATTGGGGATGGACAATCACAGTTAATGAGCTTCTGAAAATTTCAAGGTCCACTTAAACATTTACTTTTTATCTCTCCTAAAATTTACTTTGCAAAAAAAGTAAATTTCCATCTTCTCCATCTTTCCCACCTTCCCCCTTTCAAAGAAACCTATTTTACTCAAAAACCAAATCATCTTCAGAAATTAATCAAGTTTTTTTGCAATTATGAAGGCCAAAAACGATGGGTAAGTGCGAATTTCTCATTCAACATCCCTTTTCTCACTTAATTTCGCATTTCAAGTTGTTAGTGTATTAAAAAAATTGTAAATTTGTTTGGTAGGGTCTCTGTTATTGTTCATGAGTTAATTTGGAATTTTAAAGTTTTCAATGCAACTAAAAATGGTAGATATGTTTATTAGGAAATGATTCAATGATTTATTAATTGTTTCTGATAATGTTCTTTTTGATGTAATACGACGTTCTTTTTCAAATTTGTATTATGTTCTTTTATTTAAAGTTAATGTTCTTTTATTTAAAGTTAATATTCTTTTATTTAAAGTTAATGTTCTTTTATTTAAAGTTAATATTCTTTTATTTAAAGTTAATGTTTTTGATAATGTTCTTTTTGATGTAATACGATGTTCTTCTATTGGATTATTGCTACTGGTTTATCTACTTGGAAATTTAGCTTACTATTGAATTGTGATATTGACAATTTCAGCGTGTCCGTTAATTGTTACCCTGTATATCATAGAGGCTTGGTTTTTAAAGGGGGAGGGGAGAAAGTGAGGGTGGTAAAAAGAACACGCATTAAAGTCTTAAAGAACATAAATTAAAAAACACAATTAAGAAAAAAAACTCATTACCTTAAAGAACATACGAGCATCTTTCAAAATAAAAAGAGCCAAATTCAAAGAACATACGAGTCAAATTAAAAGAACATATTTTTAGAACATATTTTGTACTATTGAAACCCAAA